ATGGGTACACATGGACACATGGGGCAGAACAGCTCACACTGGTGCCTGTCAGAGGGTGGAGGGCGGGAGGAGTGAGAACATTAGGAAGAATAGCTAATGGATGCCAGGCTTAATACCTGGGTGATGGGATGATCTGTGCAGCAAACCACACTGGCATTTGTTTACCTATGTAACAAACCTGCATATCCTGCACATGTACCCCTGACCTTGAAAAATTATAAATAAAAAGATCTTTGCAAATAATAATTTAGGGGGGAAAAATAGGAAAGACAAGACAGACACGGCACCAAGGAGGTAGGAGAGAGGACTCCAAAGGAGAAGGCAGTGCTGGCACAATACAATTATGACCATGGCTGGAATCTAAGCAGGGGAAAGCTCAGAGAGAAAATAGAATGCCAATGATAGCTTTCATGGCAGAGGGCGTCACAGATACAGAGAAGCACAGACAGAAGAGGTATCCACAGGGAAGATATTATCCTGCACGGAGATGAGAGGACAGCATGCAAATGTACTTAAGGCAGCTGCCAGTTACAATAGTGATCATTACAGATGCAGAGAGCTCTTGAGGATATTAACTCTATAAGGTTCATCAGCTTCATGGAAGTCTGTGATGCTTTTGACAATGAAAATATAAAATAGCACAATGTGAACTTTAAATTTTTAAAATAATTTTTATAATAGTCATTTTCCACTACTGACAATAAACCAAAAATCTATCCAGTATTTAAGATTCTAGCCTCCTAGAAAGCCAATGCAATAATTAATTTTATAGATTGGAAAAGAAATAATGAAATCCTACAATCTAACTCACACTGAACTCCACATATTTTTTTTTAACACTGTTCTGTTACAAAACCTAAACATACTTTCTTCCTTGACTATATTCTTCTCCCTACCAGTAAGTTGTACTAGCTATGGTTTTAGCCCTTATCAAACTTATAACCCAATACTAAAAACATTAGTAAAGTCCTGCCTCATACATTAAACTCAGACCACAGGGGGCATGATACTCAACACGCTCTGAGTATGTCAAGGGCAAAGTATATGTAGGAGGCCTAGCCCAATAAAGAGAGCCACCTTTAAGAACCACAACCAGGCTCTTATACCAATTGTACATGCTGGGCTGGCTCCTGCCAATACTGGAGAACAGAGGGACCCTGGATAAAACTGCTACTGAACATCTCGAGCCTTGATGTTAAAAGGTACATTTTGTCAAAAAATCTTGATTAAAATAATGCCCTGGCTACTGCCTCTTACGATGGCCTGACCTTGGCCAGCCACTGACTTGTGTATCTCTTCTGACTTTCCAGTTGTGAAACTGGCCAAATGACTATGCTCCGATCTATCTCACTCCTCAGTGCTATGCAATTCTATATTTAACCCTCTTACCACCTTAGAACAGCAGCCCTGGGAGATAATCCTGCCAGCATGGTAGGAACCTCACTAAAACTATGACTGAAGTACAAGCAAGCTAGTTAGTGGTAACAAATAAAACACATTCGAAGATCTGTCCAGACAAACAGTAAGTATAAACTTATTCTAACACATCAAATCTTATTCATACCATTTCAAACAAGGTTTAAGAAAAAGACTTTTAACTCTTTCCTTGTTGATAATTCAAGCAATATTCAATAAAACTTACTTCCAATATAGCAAAGAAAGAAACCCTAGAGTTTAAAAGAAATGTATCTGTATGTACAGAAGTTTAATTTACATATGTATTTTGTAGATAAAGACGCATTTTGAAAATAAAACAAATTATATAGCAATTCATCACATCACTACAATATAAGGGAATAAACTACTTGCAGACAAGTCAAAGCAAGTAGATACTATTGCTAGGAAAATGATCAGTCACACATTTTTTTTAAAGCAGGTACTGAATTTCTCCCCCCAAATATTATGTATACTCCAGATTGTTTTTTACCGAGCCTAATTAGACAGGTTTAATAGAATCCAACATGAAATTAAAACACCTCCCCAGTGTTTTCCCATCATAGCACCTCAACAACCTGCTACCATGTCTTCAGTGAAACCTAATGAGGTGAGCCTAGCCAACTCCATCAGAGAGGCCATGTGGCTGCCATGAACATTGCCTTACTCACTTCTAATCCTTACCCAAATAGCGAAGAGTATGGAAAGGAGGAGGCGCACACACACACACTATATATATATATATATATGTTTGTTGAAGGGGAAAATTAGAAAAAGAGAGGCATTTCAACATGTCACATTAGCTAAGTGTAAGTATAATGTTAGTACACATTCCATTATTTTATTAGTAAGGAAATTAGCAGGCCAAACCAAGGCCCATATCAATGCAATTTTCAGTACATCATTCCTTAGAGTGAAGGAAAAAGGTTCACCAAGAGCAGCCTAAACAAGTTAACCTCCCAATAGGGGAGTCAGCCCTCCCCCATTGAAAGCATATGAGGACAGGCTGGTCTTGGCACTTCTTAGACAGATCATGCTGCAGTATTGCTATCACAACACAATGGTAAGGAAAAAAAGAAAAATGGTTTATTAGTGTACTCCCCATGAAGATTATTCTGGCACTGGATCAAGTAATGGGTGGTCATACTCTAGGTAGCATAGCATTAAGGAGAAGGTGTAAAGGAGCAGAGCAGTAGAAATAATTCATTTTATCTCCTGTATGATTCGATTTCATAGGGGCCATGCTAATAAGTCAAACAGACACTAAAACAACAACAACAAAAAAAAACAGGCAATCATGATGCAAGAGAAGCTACATCCAGAATTATGGATTAAAAACTTACCACCTAGAAGAATAATTTATTTTTAAAATGAATCCAGAGGAGAAAGATAGAAGAAACACATTTACATGGTTAGTTCTTATGATAGCTACTTTATATTCGACAGACTTGTAACAGCATGCATTATAGAAAACTAATACAGAAAACGTAAACAGACAATCCCAAGTATATCGCACACATTTTTAATAACAGAGAACTACTCATCACCAAACACATGATCCTGAATATGACAGAGATTCACTGTTATTGATAATTTTTCTCCTCCTTCTGTCAGTAATTTTGCTACTATTGCCAATTAATTATCTGTAATTGGCCTAATTCAAGATAATATTAAAATGTTAATTTACATAAAATCTCTTCCATCCCAGTTGCCAAGAAGCAGGATGCTTCATCTAATCTCCTTAGAATTCCTTGTAAGTGTAAAGAAGGGCAAATGTCCTAGATTTGCAGCAATAAACGTGTAGCTACTGACACTAGGGTGTCCACAGTTTATCTAGCCATCATGCATGCTGAGATAGTTAATAAAAAATAACATCTTTATTGGTTGCTACATTTCAAGTTATGAGTAAGATACATGCGTATGTAAAAGTATTATTAAAGCTATTAGCTTTTAAAAAACGCAATCAAGGATTTAGTAGAAACAAATCATCAAACATGTGACAAAAGCTCTAAGAGATCTGCAACCTTTAAACAGAAATTGCAGTATTACTGAATTTTTTTCCTCCCATCATTAAACATTTTCTCAGTTAACAGATGCTAAACATACAACTCTTATATGTTGATGGAACCTCAAAATATCTAATGTGAAGAGAATTCTTCATGCTGGTGATCACCGATTCGGATCAATGTTATATGTGGCCAAACACAGTCAACATTATCTCCTTTGCCCAGAAAGGTTAAGGGAAAGAAGGGTGCAAAGAGCAACTGCTATCACCAAACAGGCAGACGAAGCAGTGAAAACTTGATTGGCCAGTAAAAGGCAAAGAGTGGTCAGGACAATCCACTGACTGGCCATCCCCTTAACAAGGTAGATGAACGTTACACTGCGATACCCACGTCAATGTTCACACTGTGAAATGCCTGCATTTCCACATGATATATTAGCAGTGCTATTGCCCAAGAATGCTTCCTGAAAGGATCTATATTCTCTTAATCTGTATAGTCTCTGGACACATGCTACATACGTTTACAAGTGATTCTAAATTCACCTCTTATAAATGGCAAAAGGAACTTTCTAGTTGAGTATTTTGAGATATGTTAAAATGATGTTAAAACTGGGATTCTATCACTCTGTCTCCTTTTTGCTTTCTGGTGGCGGAACCCTTTCTCCCCTGAATCCCTTCCTCTTTTAACAGCTAGTGTCCAAGTTAATGGTCCCATAGAGCTCCATGGTGCCTTTCTTAAAGGGGAACACTGTATTTTCGAAAAAAGGAAATTATGTGACTAGCAGAATATCTAAATATCAATTCTTTACATGTAATTTTTAAATTTTAAGATATATTACAGCAAATCAAGGGATCATATACTCTACGTGGACATCTGACTTTTTCTTCAAAATAAAATTAGAATTTGTTAAATATGGATTAATCTATATTTACTTAGAGCAAAAATTACTTCATAGTCCCAGGTTCATTTATTTTGAAGAGTATTATGAAGAGTTCGAGTAAATGCTAAAATTCTACTTCTACAAAACTTGCAAGTGTATGTACAATTATACATTGTAAAACTTTATCCTCTATCTTAAGTAGATGATGAGAGGATCATTAGATTATTTTATTATTTCAACTAGTAAAAGACTAGGTAAACTGAGGACCATAAGAAAGCCTGAGTTATTCGACTCACTATGGTATGTAGTGAAAACACGATTCACATTTTCAGATCTAACTTATATTCTCTCCATTATTACCTATCAACTGCAATTCTCAACCAAAAAACAAAAACAAATAAAAGCCCTGTCTGCCATCTACTGGACAAAGAAGATACAGAACACACACATTACTGCTCAAACAACTCCAGGCACCAAGACCATGCATTTAAAATCATACTCTGTGCTGGCATGTGAAACAAAAAAATTCTTTCTTTTTTCAAAGGTTTCTTTTTATTCACCTGCCATGGGAACCATGTAGAGAATGAGGAACAGGGAGGCAGAAAATAAATGTGTACAAACATAAAAGTAGAGATAAGCCCGACATGTTTTGGATCTAAGTTTCACAAATCCATACTTACATGGCCATGTAGATCTGTATTAAGAAGCATTATTGCACAGGTAAGGCAATGGACTCCATCTGAAGAAAGACACAAGAAAAGAAAGCATGAATTCGCTTTTTACTGTTGGATTCCACCTTGTTATCATTAATAGGATACATTCAGAACCTATGAAAACAGTACTGTGCTAGGTACAGGCTTATTTGTTTTAAGAAACAAAAAATGGATGAGAATAATTTCCATATAGAAAGAACCTCAATGCACAGAATTGGACTCCACTGTTGATAAAGTGTTCTTACCTCTCTGGAGGACAATTTGGTAGTACACACGTAAAGCCTTGAAACAGTGTCTTGACACAACAAATCAGCTTCTAGGGTTTTGTGCTACAGCAATAATTAAGGATCTATACATAGTACAAGGATATCTAGACAAGCATTGCTTACAAGGGAAGACAAGTAAATATGATCCTCTAAAGACACATTTCTGTTAGGTTGAAGTCATATAAAAATGTTCTCCAAGTAAAGATTCTCATTTCCAAACATTAGAATTAGTTGTTCTCCTTAGTCTCACTCTACTAATTCTCTATACAAGTACAGTAGATAATAGCAGTTTCAGATGCAGTAAAAATCTTACCAATTTACGCTAAATTAGAAAGGTCTAATTACTGCACTCATATATTAAAGGCAGGGTATTTTTAACAGATAAGTTCTTTAGTATAGTAGGTGATTTCTGTTATCAGTGTCTCTTAGTAGATGCTACCAAATGGCTAAAACTGTATTTATTCTAGTACCATTTTATTATCACAAGTTCTACATATATTTAAAACAAATTCTCCAAAGTATTTTAAGAACTCAGCAGCCAACTCTCAAATATCCTTATCAACAGCCAATTAAGTACACGAATCTGTATTTCTTTTTTTATCCAAGAATGTAAACATCTTCTTAGATTTGCAGAAAGTTCTCATAAAAATGGCCCGCTTTTATCTCTTTTATTCTCTTGTCAGGGCTAATGGTGACAGAGATAGTGAATAACTGGTCCAAATAGCATCAGTTTACCGATAGGAATGTGGCCTTCATCAGGTGATGAATTAACTTTGACTACAGCCTGGGGGATGGAGAGAAGGTAGAGGCAAGCACCTTGGCCAGTACCAAGCACATTATCGAGGTTAATCGGCAATACTGCAGCTAAGAGGTAATTATTATTTCTTGTGAATCTAGTCTCAGTGATTTACTCCATAATCTGTAAGTTTATGAAAGATTTTCCAACTGAAAGTCAAAGTGTTCACTTCGAACACTGAAAAGTGTGCTTTATTGCAGGAATTGAAACGGAGGAAAGATCTCTCTTCAACAAGGTAGGGTCCACAAATAAACAGTTTACAATTAAGTCGTTTACTTTGTAAAAATAGTATAATAAGCATAAATTCATAGTTTATTAAAATCACCAACAGAAGTTTGAGGTATCGTTATAATTAATATCAAGCAAAAGCACTAGAGGCACACTGCAACCACCAGTGGGATTTGTTCATGTTTCCAAAACTAACCCCAAAACTCTGGATACATGAGCTTTCAACAAGAAACGTAGAGACCAAATGTATAAGAAATAAGAAAACTGAAATTTTATTACATAAAATCTTAGAGTGACAAATCACGAACATTTCAAGTATGCTGTCACACTAGAGAAGTGGAAAACAAAATAATTTAAATAAGAGTAAAGGATAACATGCTGTCCTTAAATATCATCCTTTTACAGAATATTTAATGACATGAGAAAATGCTCACAATGAAAGAAAATGCAGATAAAAACAAAATTCTAATTCCAATTTGACATTAAGTATTAAATAGACTAGAATGAAGTAAATAGAAGTGTTAGTAGTTATCACTAGCTAATTGAAGTTACATAATTTCTCATAGTAAAATTTAACTTTCATAATAAGGAAAATAAGAAATTCAAGGATTTGTATCAGATTACCTTGTGAAGCAATAGTATCTGGGTTACAGTAAAAATATCTATTGGAGAAGTGTATTAAAACTCTCTCTCGTTCTTGAGTTTCTCCCACGAGAGAAAATGCTTTAAAGAAATACCTACAAGAGAATTAAAAATTTAAAAAGTGAAATTTTAGAAAATGCTATCACACTGTTTGACAGTTAAAAGTCAATTTATACAAACCTAAGATATTAATTATACAAGGTAAGATATTATAAAGTTATTCTCTGCCTGCAAAAAAAATCATTTACTAGATAGCCATTCAATACAAATTTGTATTAGGATTTAAATTCTATAAAACACTTTGGAAGGCCAAGGCAGGCATTCATTTGAGGTCAGGGGTTCAAAACCAGCCCAGCTAACATGGCAAAACTCCACCTCTAATAAAAATACAAAAATTAGCTGAGCGTGGTGGTGGGCGCCTGTAATTCCAGCTACTCAGGAGGCTGAGGTAGGAGTCACTCGAATCCAGGAGGCAGAGGTTGCAGTGAGCCAAGATTATGCATTGCACTCCAGCCTGGATGACAAAGTGAAGCTCCGTCTCAAAAGCAGAAGAGGAAAAAAAAGTCAACTTAAAAGATGACAGGGTGATAACAGAGTGGTCAATACATCAAGAAAGCCTTGGGAAGGTAGATAATTTCCTCATTATGACCACGTGTCAAGTAGCCAATTTTAAAAGGTCAGATAAAAAAAAAAAAAAGACCACTTAAGACTCAATACATCATCATAAAGGCTAGGTTTTAAAACTCTACACGCATCAGGGTGCTTCTGTAATTTTCTTACATGATTGTCATCTCTATTAAAGCCACTATAACTTACATTGCTTTGTACACAGGAGATTTCTATGAATTTTGTCTATTATCACATTTTAATATTAATTTGTTACGGGAGGAGGAAATCGGGAGATATAAGTAATTTATTCCTTATATCATGAAATCAGTTTATGTATAAAAATATCTTTAAGTTATAGGAAGTGTGCCAAAAACCACACACTAATCTACTCAGAGTCACTAAGAGCACTGTTTATTTGACATTAATCCAGATGACCCTCCATTGACAATGTAGATCCATTTTCCTAAACATGAGATAGGAAGGAAAAAAAAATCATTCAAAATGTCTAAGAAATCTTACTATTGTAAGAAACACAAACACCATAAGCTTCATTTCTATGAAAATTTTGCCTTCTTCTTTATTATAGATATAATTAAGGTTAACAAACGATATATTGACAAAACTTTAATTTTTCTTAACTTTGATAAACAACATCAGAATGCAAGGCAAAAATATACATCTCTCAGCCACTGATCACTGTTTTGTCAGAAAGCCTGAGTACCTCTGCTGCACAAAAAGAGTCCCGCAAGAAATCACTGGAGTACTACACTCCAGTCCAAACACCCTCCCTTCACCTCCCAGGCCTCAGTTTCTTCATTTGTAAAATTAAAGGGTTACGCTAGCTGATCTCAGAATTCTTCCAGACACTGACATTTGATAAGTAGTGTTTAAAATTAAATGCTTACTAGGTGTTATCTTCAGCTACTCTTAGAAACTTGCAATACAATATAATGTAAAAAGTGAGAATCAGTGAGTTTTAGACGTCTTCCTTTGAAAAGGTCAGAGAAAGAGGGTATTGCTGGAAATATTTTTACAGATACTTTCTACTGATTATGTTGACATTCATTTTTATTCCACTGAAGAGTTAATTCCAAAGTATCACCTTAAAAGGCTATTGGGGCTGGGCAGGGTGGCTCATGCCTGTAATCTTAGCACTTTGGGAGGCCAAGGCAGGTGGATTGCCTGAGGTCAGGAGTTTGTGGCCAGCCTGGCCAATATGGCAAAACCCTGTCTCTACTAAAAATACAAATTAGCCAGGTATGGTGGTGCGTACCTGTAGTCCCAGCTACTTGGGAGGCTGATTCAGGAGAATTGCTTGAACCTGTTAGATGAAGGCTGCAGTGAGCCAAGATGGCGCTACTGCACTCCAGCCTGGATGACAGAGCGAGACTCTGTCTCAAAAAAAAAAAACAAAAAAACAAAAAAACAAAAAAACAGGCTATTGGGCTATAGGAAAAAAATTCTACAGTCTATAAACTCTGCGTGTGTGTGTGTGTTAAGCTGATCATTCAAACACTAAACTCCTTTCTCAAAACAATTGAAAACAGAGTCTTGAAGAAATATTTGTACACTCATGTTCATAGCAGCATTATTCACAGTAGCAAAAGCATGGAACCAACCCAAGTGTCTCTTGAAGCTAACGGTGGTATTTACATATTCCCCATAATGGGCTATTATGCAGCCTTAGAACGGAAAGAAATTCTGACATATGCTACAGGAACGAACCTTGAAGACATTATGCTAAGTTAAATGAATCACAAGAAGGCAAATAATGTATATGTCCATTTACATTAGAGTAGTCAAAATCATCGAAAAGAGAAGTAGAATAGCGTTTGCCAGGGGCAGGGGGAAAGGAGGGGAAGGAAAAAAATCCTTGTTTAACGAGTATGGAGCTTCAGTTTTACAAGAATCATGGAGATGGATGGTGGTGATGGCTGGACAACATTATGAATGTTTTTAATGCCATTTACCGTATACCTGAAAATTGGTAAGATGACAGGTTTTAAGCTATCTGTATTCTACCACAATAAAAAAATGAAAAACAGAAAAATTCCTACAGATGGCATTTTTAATCCAGATTTGCTATGCTACCAATTGTTTACTATCTGAACTCAGGCCTCCCATTAGGTGCAGAATATCGGTTCATGTGTCATTTCATTAAATGCATACATTTTTCTCACTCCTTGCTGTTTTTAAAATCTATAATACAATTTTAGCTAAGTTCACAAAGTACAGGTTAAACATTCCAAACCCGAAAATCAGAAATCCAAAATGCTTCAAAGTCAGAGATGCTCCAAAATCTACAACACTTTTCAGTGCTGAAATAAGGCTCCAAGGAAATGCTCCTGAAGCGTTTCAGATTTTCAGATTTGGGATGTTCAACTGGGTAAGTATAACACGAACATCCCTAAACCTGAAAAAATCCAAAATCCACAACACTTCTGGTCCCAAACATTTTGGAGAAGGAATACTCCACCTATAGCTGGAGGTTTAAGAAAAAAAATAAGATTCTAGCTAGAAGGCATTACTTTCTCCTCTAAGAACTAATCGTTTGAAGGTAATGAAGAGCAGCAGTGAGGCTTAGTCATACCTGAGTGACTGATCCAGCGTCATTCCTGTAAAATCAAAAAACTTCAGATATTCTTCGGCAACTAGTTTGCTAAATTCATTGCTATAAGGAAACAGAATAGACTTGGTTATTGAAAGGTAAACGATTTAAAACACACACAAAACAGGAGAGAATTCAGATTCTAGCAATGGGTCAGAACGTACTTCTTGCCAAGGTGTTTTGCAACATCTGATCTTTTGAATCTGTCCAGATGGTAAAGGCGTTTGGCCAACCTTTTCGCTGCTTCCACATTGCTGCTGGTACCATTACTGAGATTTCCTGGGGTCTCCTTTTCCAAAATTTCAGTGCTCCCCATTTCGGAATGAGCTTCTAGCCGTGTTGTTTTCACCCCAGCATTGCTATGATAATTGATAGAGAAAATAATAGATATTTCTTATATGGCAAAAAGGAAAATATCTGATGAAATATTGATAGTTTCTTTTAGTTTGGCTACACTATCTTAGATGAGATCATTTTATGTTTAAATATTCATAAAAGTAGTTTCAGTTACCATATTTTTAAGAACTAAAGAAAAGATTGCCTAAATCTTAGGCAAGTAGTTCCCAAACGTTTTGGTCTCTAGACCTTTACATTCTTAGAAGGATTCCATAGAGCTTCCCCTAATGTGGGTTATACCTACAGATATTTACCATAGTAGTAATGAAAATATACACATTTTTAACTCACTTAAAAATAAATCTGTTATATATAACAAATATTATAAAGATACAACTATGTTTTCCAAAAGAACATAAAATTTAGTGACACAAATCACAATGTTTCACCGTTTTTTTTTTTTTTAAACACAAATTTCTTTAATGGCTGGCTTACTAGAGGACAGTTGGACTGTCCTGTAGTAAGCCATTAGAACAGCCATTTCTGTATTAGCCATTAGAACAGCCATTTCTATATTCAACCAGTAACAATATATTATTTTGGTTGAAGCACATTGAGAAAATCTGTCCTCACTCATCTTTCGTTAAAAAAAAGAAATATGTTAATATCTTTTTCAGATAACTGTGGATATTCTTTTTTGATATAACACCAAAATGAGATAAGTGGTAGTTTCTTAAAGGATATTCTTACTTGCAATATGGAATCTAAATTTGTGTCAATTAACTTTTTGTACTCTTATATTAAAATCTATCTTATACTTTGAATGGATCTTTTAACCAACACATGATTTTATAACACACACATTGGTTATTTGCAAAACATGTGTTGACACATTTCATTATATAACCTTAAAAAAAAAATCACATTCACTAATGTCACGATTAATGAAAAGGCTAAATATTGGGAAGCTGCCAAACCTTCAGTGGCAGATACAAGTTTTCCAAAATTGCAACGTTGGTTCCAAAGCTCAAATGTAATCATTTGCTAAAAATATTATCAGCCGTTTTCCTTAAAGTAATAGACTTACTCCATTTTCAAGAAAATGTTTGCCAATAACCATAGTTTGCCATTCGCTCAAGGAAAAATGACATTTAATTTAAAAAGTGACTATTTTTTAACCTCAACTTAAATGACAGATGAATGTTTTTCCCGGAGACGATCAGGAACAGAAGTGCTTTATTCCCATTTCATCACACACAAAATTAAAAAGACATGAACTCAAGCGTTGAAATGAAATAAACAAACTGTACTGGTTTCATTAAGGATTGTTTTTAAAAGGTGAAACTGGCCTTTAATTTCATTTTGAGCACATGACAGTGGAGAATACAATGACTGGAAGAGTCTGGTGCCACTGCCTGAAATTCTGCTAAGACCCCCACTGCTGTTTTTGTACCATACGATATCAACACAGTGAAAAAGAAAAATAATGTTGTAGTAATTAGTGTACCATAATTTTGATCTCACAAACCTACTGAAGGAAGAAAGCTCCACAGGCAACACGTTGCGAACTTGGCCCTAGATAGGGCTTAAAGACTACAGCCTGTGGTCAGCTATAGATGGTTCCCATGTATTTGTAACACTGAAACTAATGAGGATACATTAATTTCCAAATCTTTATCTTAACTTGGAAGTAAGACATGCTCATGATAAAATGTGCTTAAACGGCCTTCGAACACACTTACCACAGATGCTAAACTAAGGGCGGTCAGAATTTTTCCATAATGGACCAAATCATAAATATCGTAGACTTGCAGGCCACATGTGGCCCCTGTCACACATGCTGCTTTGCTGTTGTTGTTTTGTCACAACCTTAAAAAACCTAAGAGCCATTCCAGGCTGGGCAGAACTGGGCCCATGGATGGGAGTTTATCTGCCCTTGCTCTATCCCATAGTTCTTTAACTTGGCTTGCACTAAGCAGAATAACCATTTACTGTCTAAACCAGGACACTCTAAAGGGGAAACATGCTATTACAATCGTTACAAAATAAAGAAAGCATTATCAATCAAAAAAAGTAGTACTGCTAATGGGCATTTTTTCTTTTGGGGTGATTAAAGCATTCTTAAGACAGTGGTAACGACTAAACAACTCTGAATATGCCCAAACCAACGGATTTTATACTTAATATAGTAAGTGATATAATATTTCAATGATCTCAAAGGTGTTATGTTTTTAAAAATCTGAATCTAAAAAATAAGTTGTAAACTTATATCACTGAATGACAAAAACCATTGTAGCAAAAATAAATGCATTTCTAAGCAGAACTGCTCTATCTTGCCACTTATTCTACCGCATTTACAAGTTCCCTTTTCCCACTGCTCTACCTAGGAAGCGCTGGCCTTATGCTTCAAGGTCACTGAGAAAGCAGCCAGGGCTCCTGGACAACCAGCTGGTGTAACAAGTAACTGCAGAGTCTCATACTCCCTTCAACCACCACAGGATTAGAAGGAGTTAACTGTCCCTAGCAACTCTTCTCCAAGCACACTTTATCAGCAAGCACCCGACTTCCTGCCCTTGAAATGAAGCTCTAAGAATAGGGAAAAGAGAGAGAGTCTTTCAGAGTCAACTGTGTAAAATCGTCAATGACACAATCCCAGATGACACCATGGGAGAAGCTGGGAATACAAACCTAGGTCTACCAAACCCATGCCGACTTATTTCACCATAGCTATTAGTGGTAATAGTTCACTTATTAAAACTCTAAGTCAAATACCCAACCACAGTCAATATCAATGGTAGAACAGCAGACAATCACTGGAACTGACCCAGGAAAACTAAGATGTATGGTAACCCTCAACACCCTGAACAGTTTCCCAACAGACACACCCACCAGTTAAATTAAACTGCTTCATTACGATAAAATCTCCATGAAAATGTATTTTTAAAAGCATGATTTTTTTCATCCCACATCTTCCATTTCAGACTTAACATTACATGGCTGGGTGTGCTGGCTCAAACCTGTAATCCCTGCACATTGGGAAGCCAAGGCAGGAGGACTGCTTTAGCTCAGCAGTTTGAGACCAGCCTGGACAACACAGTGAGACCCCCCTCAACTATGACAAAAAAAATTTTTTTAAAGAGAGACTTAACACTACCATTCAGTTTTGTGAAATATATCCCATCAGGAAACTGAATAATCATTATCGACAGTATAATCCATGAGAAAACTCACAGTAGAAATTTCCTCATGGTTACTTTGTGTTTTCCCACACAACTGAAAGAAATGTAAAATATTTATTCCGAGAACTATGTTAATTACAATCAAGTACTCTTTATAATTACACACAAAACAAAACCCTTGGAGTTGTGTTTCCGTGCGTGCTTTTCCTATCATGTAGTAAAAACAAATGTCAAAGAAAGGATTTTCTTCTTAATTAAACCACTACTTACTGCTCACTTCCCAGGAAAAATTCATGGCATTTATTTAATCAGTCTGTGCAAACAATGTACTTACACCACATATATAATACTGGCCCAATTTTGTTCAAATACAAGTTCTCATTCTAATGATAACACATTTTAAAAATTTACTGCTCAAAATCATTCCATTCCTCATGTTACTCATCCTCCATATTTGCCCCTTTTCTACTATGCTGCCCAGTCCAAGTGATTTCACCTAATTTTCTTCACATTCACCAAAACGATATAATTGCAATATCTGTGTGTATCAGACTTTCTGGATCTTCTTCAAAAAGGCTTCAGTAAAAGGAGAAAATAAAGAACAAAGGATAAATATCCCTGTCCCTAGATGGCTTCATTCTATCCTTTTCACAACTTAGGAGATTATTTGAACAAGAACCGAAATTGCACCTTTTAAATCAGAAAGCTTGACAATACGATGGCAATACAAACTTACCAGCAACCAGACAGACACCAAGCAGAGCCCATCACAACCCTTGGGGTGTGCCTGGACCATCCTTCCTCTCTGAAGCCCCGTCCAGTATTCTTCAGCTCCCAAGTTCAGTGTTTGCCGAGCCTCACAGCCTTCCAAGAACCTGACTCCCTGTGAGGTCACACTGCTATGACCTCACATTCTCAGCTGAGTGTTCATTGTTGGGGTTTTTGTAATGTTTTTGCAGTTCTAATAAAAACAGGAGCCAGAACACAAGGGCCACTGTCTATCAAGAACATAAGAAACAGTGAGCCCAGTCTCGCTCACACTTGATAAAGCCGACTCAGCGATCCCTCTCAGAGGGGATAACACCCCATTTTGTTTCCTTGAATACACAAGGCATGGCAGCTCTAGTCTGTTGAGCATGAGATGCTTTCTACAGTTTGGATTTTCTCTTTTCTATAGTTCAGTATTATTTTTCCCTATTTTTCTTGATCAAATCACACTTTACAACCTAGTAAGATGAATCCCTACCAGTCACTTAAATGTGTAAGAGGCTTCCCAAAAGCTTCTCCCTGTGTTCCAGAAAATGCTTCCCTGGGGCCTTTACCTCTGTCCTCCAAGTGAACATGGTAATATTCTTTCATCAAAACACTCCATCATCAAATGAAGGACCAGATCATTGAGTCTGATCACCAGGCCTTCTCACAAGCTTTTGAATCATACGAAGATTGGCAGGTTTTCCAAATAAAAATAGGGTACCCAGTTAAATTTGAATTTCACATCAAAAACCAGTGTCTACTGTAAGTATGTCCCAAATACTGCACGGAACATACTTATACTAAAATACTATTCATCGTTTGTCTGAAATTCAAGTTTAACTAGGCATCTTATATTTTATCTGGCAAAACTTCCTGAAATGTTTTTTTTCTAAACTTTATTTAAAGAATTCCAATAATGGTGTTCCATGATTGTCAACTGGTAGCTTATTCACAGTCAGAATCCTTCTCGATTTTTTCACTTGTTTCTGTGATTTTATTCCTACTATTTTTCTACAGTTTTCTGAAGAATCAGTAGATTATAGGTAACAGTTTTATCAAGACTTTACAAACACCTTCATCTGTGTTTTCAT